AAAGTTCCAAACAGTATGGCTGGGTACAGCTGCCATATTTTTTAAGTACGATGCTACTTAGAGTAACATAGCACTGCTAAGTCGTGTAAAGGGGAATGAAAATTTAAAGTAGTGCACTAAAAATGGGGATGCCCTACAGTCCATTGCTCAATGGAGTCAATGCTTTAAATATGAGTAGGATACCTTTATGTAAGTTGCTATGCGTTCTTTTCCCAATTCTTTGGTAAACTCGTTAATTGTAGGCCATTCGATGTTGGGGCTGACTTGGATGGCTTCATCGCCCAAATTGGTCCCCTTAACTGGCTCTATCAAAGATAATGGTAGTAGCGAGCTATCTACCGGCGGACAACCAGTCAATTGTTCAATTAATACTTGATCTATTATCCGGCCGGCCTCCACCTCATCGTCAGGAGAGAATTCGTGTACTCCAAGGTAGCGCCTCGAAAACCCGAAGGGGAAGATGAAAAGAATAAAAAAACATGGAGGCAAGGCCTAATAAGTTGAGATATTAAAAATATGAAAAACAGCGATATTAAGAGTTTTACGAAATAATTGATCATCCAGTCGCAGACTACGGGTTAAACTTAGCATTGATCTTACTGCACTCCCAATGAGATTCGCGACCAGGCTATTTTTTCAAGCGATAAAACGGTTCTTCCGGTTTACAGGTTAAATCTCACTTTATTTTCATGTCAGGCCTCTAAAGATGTTTAACATTAGCGGGAAATAGTATCAAGAGAGAAAAAAATTGTATTTTTTTGGCGTCATCACTCCTGCTGCTTATCTTGCCCATCCTCCCTCTCGATTTGCTAATCCAACTCGGACTTCATATACGAATCTCACTCATGAACTCGGAGATCCGTTTCTTATCTTACTTTTTGACTGATTTCGTTCGGTTTGAGACCCACTAAATGTTTTACACCAGGTGCTATTTCCGCAAGGATGCCGATGGTCTCCCTAAACATACGGTACCTTGTGTTTTCACCACATGCAGCCCTGTTTCTACTGTCTTCTGATTGATCTCATGTCCAGCCTGAGCAATGTGTTCCTCTATTTTTATTTCTTTCGCTTTCTATTTTCCTGCAGAGTCTTTATGTTCCTTGATTCGAATGCTGATCGTCTTCCCTAGTTCGCCAATAAATTTCTGTCGTCGGACACCACATTTTATGCAGTAAACTACCGAGAAATCCTATTTGTCAACCCTCTCGCGTTGCGTGGTTAGACTTGTAAATTATGTTGTTTTTTCCCTCGTAATTACCTGTATCTTCCAAAAAGGTAGGCATATCCGCTTTTTTGAAGCTCTTTTCAACCTTACTTTTCTTTCATAATACCCGTCCTGACATCTGCTTCTAACGGCCTGCATGTTTCATTGAATTACTTTCCTCGGATATCCGTTGCCGAAGAATATCCTAGTCAATTTTTCCAATTCAATGGATTCCAGAATTTTACATCCGTCAATCGTAGCCTTCTAATGATCATGCTTCTCATTATTCCGATCTCTATTCGGTAGTTGAGTCTTATTCCGTCGCATGACTTCTTCTGAATAATTTCCTTTTGAGTACCACATTCGAGCAAATGACTTTAACATCCATGAAAGGTAATCTCTCCTCTTTCCCTATTTCAATTGTAAACTTGATTTGTAGTGACTTTTACTCCACAATAAATTTGGCTGGATCTCTCATAGTTATCTCTTGACTCATGCAACACCAAGCGGAGCATGACATATCGGCATTGTGGTCGACGGGGACTAGGCAGACCTAGTCACCGAATCGAGCCTCTCCATTTAA